TTAGAAAATTCAATGGACAAAAATCCTTTTAGAGCATCTAGAGTTAGGATTCATAGAATCATATGATACCAGGTTAGAAGGGACTTCAAGGATCTTCTAGTCCAACCTCTCTTGGCAAAAGCATCTCTAGACAAGATGGCCCAGCACCCTATTCAGCTGAATCTTATAGGTGTCCAATACTAGGGAATCCACCACTGCACTGGAGAAATTATTCCAATGGATAAGGGTTCTGACTGTGAATAATATTCCTCTTGTGTCCAACTGGAGTCTCTTCAGTAGTAACTTGTGCTCAATACCCCTCATTTTTTCCATGTGACTTGTAAAAAGGGAGTCTCCATTTTATTTTTAGCTACCCTTTACATACTGACAGATGGTGATAAGGTGTCCCCTAAAACCTTATTTCCTCAAGACTAAACAAATGTAGTTCTCATGGTCTAAAGTTCTCATTCTTAGCCCCTTCCACAACATTAAACTTCTGCCAAAAGTTGGAAATCTGTTTCATAGAAAACCCTTTACTTGAGTGGCTTCCACATCACTGCCTATGTACCTTTCATTGAAAGGCTCATCATACCTGTCTGTGGGTAATTCACAGAACCATCTTGCTATCAGAGCTTCAGTTAAAAGTTTGATAAACCTGTATTTTTAGTTTTTTCAGTAGAAAGTTGTCTGTAAGAAAGACAATGGCTTACAGCAGTCTGGCCCAAAATATTTGCAGGCTACTGATCACGACTGTTCAATATTTTGGAGTTTTTCTCCCCCGTGAAGCCATATACAGTCTGTTGTATGTAGCAGTGACTAAAGGAGACAAAAATAGCCACTACAGTGCTTATATCAAGTTCTGTAAGGAACGGAGTCTCACCTAATAGGACCTGCCTTGATCAATACCTTTAAATCACAGGCTGTGAATGCTGGCACTACTGACAGAAGTATCTGAACAAACTTGATTACAGCATGAATCCTGAATTAAGGGCAAGGTTAGGAGCTTCATGAGCAAAGCCCACGCAAATTTCCCTCCCCCCTAATCCCCATCCCTCTGCTAAACATCCTGATCCTAAGCAGACATCAACTTCACATTTCTACAGCAATTCTTGTCTTTTCTGCACAGAGTGTTTCCAAGCTGCCAATCAGTTATGAATTCTCAACAGACTGGTCTTTTCCAGTAACCCAGCAGTTGAGGAAGAGCCTGTTGTTGTTGTTGAGGGGTGATTTTTGTGTTGTAGTTTTCATGAGCATATTTTATCTCACTGTTCTTTAAGAAGTGCTTCTGAATTGCCGTATAAAGGCCCCAGTAGACAGGCTTTCTGCAAAGACTGAAACCAGTCCTTTTGAGAAAACACTGTATTTATTCAGTGTACTGTTCTGCCTGTGTTCC